CCATTTTGTAAACCGCCATGAGTCGCCCTCAGGCTGAGAATGGTGGTATAGAAGGATAGTAAATAAATAAATAAATAAATAGTTTAAATGCATTTCTCCGCATTGCTCTACAGCTCTCTCTCTTTCTCTCTCTCTCTCCATACTTTATATTACTTTCGGGCTTGGCCTCATGTTAGCTGCCCTGAGTCCCCTTTGGGGAGATGGTGGTGGGGTATAAATATTGTTGTTATTATTATTATTATTATTATTATTATTATTATTATTATTTTCCTATACAATGCCAATCCATGTGATACCATTATGACACTGGAGGCAATTCCGTATTCTATTCCTCATCTATAACAAGGAATTGTATCCCTCATTTTCTGTATAAAAATTACACAGGCAAACCAAAGACAGAAAAATTGAGTGTGATTGGCCTGAGCATTATGATGCCAAACAATTAAATGAAAACTGGTTAATATTCAATATTTGTAAATGGGTTGATGAAGGAAGTTATCCTCCATCCAGAAAAGATTCTTGTTTTCCCTTACTTTTTAGTCAGCTCGGCATTATTGACAGATTCTGCAATTCTGCTTCCCAATCCTGCCACCTTCTGGAAGCTTAACGTTTCTGCTTATGTCTCATATTCTAGTTAGAGGATAATGTCCAGTGGCAATTATGTTATCAAAATGTGGTTTTCACAGAAGGACAGATTTGGAAGTATCCTCATGGACTATTGAGTCTAGTCCCCTAATCAATGCAATATTTTGCACCCCTCAACGTTTTCTGCCAATGGAGTTCGTGCCCTCCAAATAGGATGTTCAGCCTCACAACTCTGTGTGTTTTTATAAGTTCCATATAAACTTCCTGCTCCTATTTTATCTCAGTATAGTTTGTTAACTGGGTTGTTGTGGGTTTTTTCGGGCTATATGGCCATGTTCTAGAGGCATTCTCTCCTGACGTTTTGCCTGCATCTATGGCAAGCATCCTCAGAGGTAGTGAGGTCTGTTGGAACTAGGAAAATGGGTTTTCCTAGTTCCAACCCATTTTATCTCCACATTGGAACCTCTCATTCACTATGAACTTCCTTCTCTTTTAGAATTCGTGTATTTCCCCGTTGAAATAGGCTCTCCTAAAATCTAGAACGTGTTTCTAGCTATTCTTGGGCCTCCCCATTTCTCTATATAACTAACTCCAGGAGAATATAGTCACTCCCACCTTAGGATCCACCACCAGTCCATTAAGCAAGGCATCACTGTTGGTTTAGATATCTAAAACAGTTTTTTTACTTGTCCCTCCAATAGTCTAAGAGACCGTGAACTGGCCCTCTGCTTAAAAAGTTTGAAGACCCCTGATCTGGACCATGAAATTGTCTACAAGGCAAATTTGTGGGACCTTATATTCTTGACTACCAACAAGTATCATAGAATAGTTGAAATCTCCCATTTTTCCTTTATGAATGTGTGATCATCTGTTCCAGGAAGGCATCGTCCAAGTCCTCAGTGTCTCTTGATGGTCTGTAGTAGAACCCCACAATAACATCCTTGTAGTTTCTTTACCACTTAATTTTTATCCAGATGCTCTCAACCTGGCTTCCACAATTTCTCCAAAATAGGTTATACCCCTATTTTGCTATTCCTTTAAGGTGAAACTGCCCTATCCCTCTGCTGCAATTTCTGATCTACAGGGGGAAGTGGATTCTCCAAGCAATAACATACAGGCAGTCCCTAAGTTTTGAGCAAGATTGGTTCTGTAGATTTGTTCTTAAGTTGAATTTGTTTGTAAACCGAACAGGCACATTTTTAAGTGTAACTCCAGCCATATATATATACACACACACATACATATAACCTTTGGATAACAGAGGGAAGGGTTAAGCCCCTTGTGGTTTGTTTTGTTGTCTGTGTCCCCGTTCAGAAGATTTCATCTCACTTTCTGTCCCTGTGATAATTGGATTCTGAAAAATATTGCTTGTTGTGGAAACAAAGATTGGTGATCAAGCTTCAGTTGAGACATCTTTTCCCCAGGATAACTCTTTCCGAAGTGAATTTTCCTTCCTCAGGGTAGATTTCTCTTACTTCCTGTTGTCTCATCCCTGTTCTTAACTAGAAGTCGTTTTAAATCAGATGTTTGCAACTCAGGGACTGCCTGAATTAAGCTTGCACTAATTTGAAGTATTCTGGTGAAAGTTTCCTTTGGAATGGGCAATGCCTATAGCTTCAAAAAAGTCCTACTCTTCATGGTGAAGCATTAACCTGTCAGAACTGGTCATTTGAAACAGATCAATATTAGTTGCCTGTTCGATATTAGGCGAGGTTGGCATGCATATCTTTGGCATGGAAAGGCAAAAATTGAAAATTAAAATTCGCCGGACAATGATTGAGGGTTAAAAAACCTAAGCTTCTCCTGGAATATAGATGGGAAATCAGATATAGACTAATATTTATAGGGTTGGATATTCCCCCCCTTCCCGGTGCCATCCTCACTATCTCTCTTTAGACTGCGTCGGATGATCTTGTGAATTGAGTTACGTTTTAATAACTTCTTGCATTGGTTTTTAGCTTAGATTTCAAAATTTGTTGGAGTTTGAAGTCTATAACCCTTTGGGTTTGATGTGAATGTACGGGACTGGGTCCTAATATTGTGATCTGGATTTGTATATACACTTTGTGCTGGTCATGGACTGTAATAAAGTTTTGATTGATTGATTGATTGATTGAAAAGAATTTCTCCAATCATTACATTAGAGCAGCATTAATAAAAGTATGGGAGAAATACAAAGGAAACTTCTATGATAAAACGCCTCTTTGGCTGTCTCCCATAGAAGCATATCATAAAAGAGAAATTCCTAGGGACAAATGGCACACATATAAAATACTACTGGGGGAAAAAGGACAAGTGGAAACTAAAATCGCTAGAATCGTTAAGGGAAATTGACGAGAACTTATCATGGTTTCATTATATCCAAATTACAGATTGTTTTAAAGAAGACAAAACAAAGGAGATAGCACTGCTGTCATTTATTGACAATGTTAAAATACCAAAAGAACTAAAAGAATTAATTGCCAATCTGGTAACAGCAGCAAGATTATTAATAGCTAAAAAATGGAAAGAAGGAGGGGAGTGCCAATTGGAAGAGTGGTATAGGGAGATCTGGGACATCGCAATAAACGATAAACTGACAGGAAACATTAAGGTTAAAAGAGGATTATCAAAAAAAGATGATTTTGGGAAGATTTGGGGGAAATTGATAGAATATGTATATATAGAAGGTAAGGGGACCAAACCTGTAATAGAAACAACTAATTTTTGGGAATAAGTATTGTAATTGGCTGGTCGGGGGTGAAGGATTAGCACTGGGTGATTGGATGTAATGAAGCAGAGGAGAATGAAATATTATAGGTATCAAGACATATATGTTCTGTACAATTGTTAATGGGAAGTGATAAGTATAAGAATGTTTAAATACTGAATAAGCTACAATAAATAAAAAAGTTTAAAAAAAACAAAGGACTTTGCATCACAGGAGACGATCTGGGATATATTAATGAAAAAAGAAAAGAAATTAATAAAATTATTATACCAAAAATTGCTTGAGTGGGACACAGAGACCGGATTAATAAAAGACAATATGATAAAATGGGCAGTAGACTTCAGTCACACTATATTGTTTAAAGAATGGGAAAACATATGGAGGAAAAAAAAAATATTCTAAATCGGCTGATATAACCGAGAATTGGCAAAAAATGTTTTTACGTTGGTATTTAACCCCTCAACAATTGTCCAAATTCCATAAAGGCATAAACAATAGCTGTTGGAAATGTGGAGACCAACCAGGCTCCTATTATCACGCTTGGTGGCAGTGTAGAAGAGTGATGACCCTTTGGAAAGAGATACATATTCAAGTACAAAGAATATTACAAATTAAATTTGAGTTGAAGTCAGAATATTATTTATTACATTTACTAGATTTTGACCCAGGGACAAATAACGATAAGTTATTATATCACCTGTCTGCCGCAGCAAGAACTGTGCTAGCAAGAAAGTGGAAAACCAAAGAACTTCCTTCACTCGAACCCTGGATTCTCAAGATTAGAGAATACATGGATATGGACACCCTAGCAAATATGACGTATGAGACGAGCAAGAAAAAAAGGGTTGACTGGCAACCATTAAAGAAGTATTTAAAAGAAAGGAAAAACATCCAGATAGAATAAAGGTGAAGGTGATTCAAGAATTTAATAAGGCTACATTGAGCAAGTATTCTGTTTTATTAAACCCTGTGGTAAAAGGTAGTCCCCTGACATTAAGTCCAGTCATGTCTGACTCTGGGGTGTGGTGCTCATCTCCATTTCTAAGCCGAAGAGCCAGTGTTGTCCGTAGACACCTCCAAGGTCATGTGGCCAGCATGACTGCATGGAGCGCCGTTACCTTCCCGCCGGAGCGGTACCTATTGATCTACTCACATTTGCATGTTTTCGAACTGCTAGGTTGGCAGAAGCTAGGGCTGACAGCGGAAGCTCACGCCGCTCCCCGGAATCGAACCTGCGACCTTTCGATCAACAAGCTCAGCAGCTCAGTGCTTTAACCCACTGCGCCACCGGGGGCTCCTCATGGAAGTCAACCAATGCACAGAACTCTACATGTGCTGATTATCACTTCACCCCCCACCCTCTGCCATTTCACTAATGTAACCGTTTCTCTCTTTCCCCCCTGCCCTCTGTACTGTATGTAATATTCATAACTATGGAAATTGTACAATAAAGACGATTAAAAAAAATTGTTGCCTGAATTTTTGAATGGATGCAGGGAGGGACTTGTAACGTATTCCAAAACTGACCACTGCATATAACTGATATGATTCAAACAAATGTTACAATAGTGGATAATACTGAATAAAGTAATGTTTGCTGCTTTTGCCTTCAAACCTTCACATTTTTTTATAAAAAGAAACCTATATAATTAGCTTTACACATCTAATCTCTCCAATCACAAAATGAAAAACAAAATCAGCAATATAAAATGAATACAATTGTATGAATGTTTATTTCTAATTACAAGAAAGAGAATCAGTCCCTCATTTGTACAAAAATACCTGAAAGATTACAAATAAGTTCACTAGCAAAAGAAAGAACGAAGGAAAGAAAGAAAGCGCTATTTACATAGTGAAGCAATGCATAAGGAGCATGAGGTTTTGTCTCTTACGTTAATACTTTTGCATTCCCTGAACACTTTCATTCCATTTTGCAGTTAAAATTCTTGCCTTCTGACACAATAATTTTCAAGAAGCAAGTTTTGCCACTGGAAAGGTGCATTGATTGGTTAAAATGGTCAGGTACTTAGTGCAGAAAAGATAAGACAAAACATCTAAAAACGGAGGCACATGTTTCTTCAAGATTACTTCAACAAATACAAAAGCTGTACTTAAAAAAAACATCATCAGCAATTCAACTTACCTAGCATTTTTTTAAAAAAAAATTACCAAATGATTTGGCATTTTCCTTCTCAACATATTCCAAGATTGCTACATGACATATTTTATTTAGCAAATAAAAATTACAGGCAAAATAAGCAAAATTCAACAGGCTCCAAAAACAACCCTGAGCATCCCTCTTTACATTCATGTCATTTAAATACAAACAAACAAAAAAGGAAGTCAAATGTCCTTCAGTCCTTGGTTTCTAAGCTGCCAACCAGCTTTATCTGCTGGAAATATTTAAGATTTTTCAAATTTTAATTTCCAGCCAAAAAGGGGAGGAAGAAGAAGCTCAATAATGGTATGCTCAAGTAACACAGCTACCACTTCGTTGTAGTTAAAGTTGGGAAAGAGTATACAAAATAGCAATCTACATTCATGATCATGATAGTCAATTTTTTTTTGTTCTCAAATTAAATAAAGATGGAAGTTCTATAAATATAAAACAAGTAGTGGGTATTGCATTAATGGAATTAAGCCATGTAAACACACTTATATTTCTAAAATTCTACGTGATCCTATTGAAAAAGCGGTGAGTGAGAGTATTAAATTTATAGAAATCACTTTTGGGAGAGCTGGAACAGAAAACGCAGAATGAAATTGGAGATTCAAGTTAGCTTAATTTGATGTTTAAGAACATTGACGAAAAAGATCAACTAGAAATGTAATATATACAAATAAAAGCAAGAAGGTTGCAGTAAAAAACTAGATCAAGTTTCTTCATCATACATGTAGAGATTTCATGGCAAAAGGCTATCAAAATGTGCCCCATAAACTAAAATACAGTGTTTCCATACCATTGATAATTCAGCTCATATGTATTATTCAAGCTGGTTGCGTTATCTTAAGCTACTCTCAGGACTATTGGAATATTTTATTTTTATTTTTTAAAAACCATTCAGATGGGCTATTAATTAGATGAGAGATTCACTCTAATTGAATCGTTTAATTCTATATAACAGTTGGACACAGAGAAAAGACATTCAACTTCAAACACTAATTCTGAAAAATCCTAGGGTGCTTTATAAACCATCCAAACTGTACAAACACTGGACTGTTCACAGTCATGAATGGTGATGTTACTTAAATGCTACTATGACCAGAAAGAAAGAGCATTTATATGTAAATATGGGATAACATACATGTTAATAAGAAATGTCCTTGGTTCAGAGGGTACAAACTTTCCATGTGGCATAGTCCATGCACACAGCTATGTAGAGTTAGCAGTATTTGGTCCAGCATGATTATACCAACAGGTACCACTTGTCTATGACCTAAACCCAAATTACACAAATTATAGCCAGGAAACCATATCTATCATGTGGAAGATTAGAGAGAATCTAAATCAAACATTATAGATGAACCAGGACTGAAGCAAGAAGAAATTAGTTTGCCAGATACAATCAGCCCTCAGTACCCACTGGTTCTGTATCCACGGATTCAACAAACCATAGCTTGAAATTATATCTACAGGATGAGGCAGCATAACTTCCTTTTTTTTAAATGCGCGCCATTGAGTCGGTTGAAAACATAGCGGAGCGCTAGTGGTCTCGTTCGACAGGTGGGAGTATAACGTTTTGTCCTGACACAGTTCAGTCGCCATCATGTGTTGGAACAGTGAGGAGCGTGCTTTTGCCGTTGAGGCCTACTTTTCAAGCGGATTTGGAGTGGCTGGCCCGCTCTCCAGATTTGGCCCCTTGTGATTTTTTTCGTTTTTTTTTTAATCCCGTGTTTATGTGAACCGTCCAAGGACCCTACAAGATTTGAAGACCAACATCCAGGAAGAAATAGCCAACATAATGCCTGCTATGCTGGCAAGAGTCATGACAAATGCCAGAAATCGGTTTACTCAGTGTATGGAAAATGAGGGACGTCACCTACCTAATTTGATCTTCAAAACTACATAAAACAAAACTTTACGTATGCGCCGACATTACAAAAAAAATTAAAAATTTCTGATTCATACAATGGGTTTTATTAAATTTTGAAAAAAGGAAATTATGCTGCCTCACCCTGTAAAAAATTTCAAAAACCAAACCTTGATTTGGCTTTGCATTGATTTATAGGAATAGCCTCTTGCCATTTCACAGGTCCTCCTAAACTTGTTTTGAGTTATTTACCATTTTTAAAAGGATGCCATTTTACTATGCCACTGTATATAATGGGACTTAAGCATCCACGGATTTGGGTTTCCATAGGGGATTCTGGAACCAAACCCCAGCGGATCCAAAGGGCCCACTGTACTGGCAGAAATTCTTTAGTGCATATATCCCCAAGTATCAATTGACAAAAATGACAATAACAAATCCCAGCCTGGTCAAGATGGCTGGAAATCGAGCCTCCAAATAAGTTTCTAGCCATTAAGCTGCCAGTCCTATTGTATTCTATATTCAACTAGTGGTACTTACATGGGTTTCTTTTGTTGAACTGAAAAGCTATATGACAGTGCTTGATAGATTATGTCCACAGTTTTTCATACAGACTCATAATGTAAGCTTTGGCCTACACTTAGAGGGCAGTACTGGTCTCATGTGCTTACGAAGCTGTGCAGCATATTTTCTGCTCTGTGATAAACTCTGAAAATTTAAGAAATACTGCTAAAAATAAAAACACAGAATTTGTGCTATAACAAATCACACCAAAAGTAACAGAGCCTCCATTCCCCCCTGTTGATTTCAAATACTTATATGATAATTTAGCTTCGCTCTAGCTATTGACAGCAGATTATTCCACAGAGTATATTCAGAATAAGGGAATCTAGAAGGCTGGAAGGATGACTGAAAGCCCACCCAGATTAGATTAGGTCCAGACTATTTGTGCATGGGGTTATTAATACCTTGCATAACTGTCCAACCCTAAAGTACTGCCTACAGGCTGCAGCTATCATCATCCCTCTCAAGAATATGAGTGGTATTTGTTGGGTTTTTTTCAGATTTTCATTGATATCGTTCCTTCAAGAACATCATCTGAGGTCTGCAGAGAGGTCAAACATCTGGATCCTAGTTCAGCAGTAGCAATCGAACGCCACACAAGGTGTAGAGCGATACTCAGATCCTGTGTAAATGTAAAAGCTGAATCACTTCCTAATACAGACCGCATGCAATATCCCAAAAAGAGGAGTGCAAAACAAAGACAAAAATAGTGAGTGAGCAATAAAAAAAAGTAAACACACTAAAATTTAAATTGTCAAGATTCTTCCAGGGCAAGAGTTCTCTTTCAATTATTTTGCTTCACCAACGTGATTCTGTTAATTGGATCAGCCAAGGGACAGTTTCCAGTTTTGTTTAGTGATTTTACAACTTTGGAGGGAGGATGGTGCTTGGGACATTCTGCAAAATCATGCCCGGGTATGACACAAACCAGCAAAATCTTAGTCTGCTGGCACCAGCTCAAACGATCCCTTTTTGAGTGCCAAGGTGCATATGTATTTAAAAAGACAACTACAAGTCTGCCAATGCCCCAGCGTGAACTTTCGTGTACTTTTTTTCTTTCGCAACTCCAGTCTGTGGGCAAAGCCAGTCTTCAACATGGACTTGAACAGATGTCATAAGGCCACACGGGTGCAGTGATGTTTGAGTTTGCAGGGCAACACTCCCCTATTGAGTTGGTAGAATTCAACAAGCTGAATTAAGTCAGTGAATTTGGTGCTCCCATCATCAAGGCTTAAAAATATTTGTCCATCGTCTTCACACTGGAGAATTAAAACAGAAATACAGAGTTTTAAAGGCTATTTTAAGTGTATTTGTTATATTGTAATCTGTTTTTACCATAATCCACACTGTAATATTTAATTCTTTTTCAACTTTTGAATTGCACTCTTCCAGCTATGACCAAAGTGTGGGATTTTTAGTCCCAACAGGGAGAAAGGTAGGGTATAAATAAAGTAAATAAAAACAAATTACTTCAAGGTTAGATAGAAATTAGAGAAGGATGTTAACTCAAAGAAACTATCTCAGGCTAAGAGATAGTTCCTTTGAGTTAACATCCTTCCCTAATCATAGAATCATAGAATCCCAGAGTTAGAAGAGACCTCGTGGGCCATCCAGTCCAACCCCCTGCCAAGAAGCAGGAAAATCGCATTTATTTATTTATTTAGACCATTTCTACCCCGCCCTTCTCACCCCCGAGGGGGGACTCAGGGCAGCTAACACAGGCAACAATTCAATGCCAACGGTATCAAAACAACAATATAAAATAGCAATATAAAATCCATTACATAACAATTAAACAGTGATATTAATTAAAATTACATAATCACATAGAACAAATCACATAATCACAGGTCATTTAAAGCACCCCGATAGCTGGCCATCCAGCCTCTGCTTAAAAGCCTCCAAAAAAGGAGCCTCCACCACACTCTGGGGCAGAGTGTTCCACTGCTGAACAGCTCTCACAGTTAGGAAGTTCTTCCTCATGTTAGGTGGGATCTCCTTTCTTGTAGTTTGAAGCCATTGCTCCGCATCCTAGTCTCCAAGGCAGCAGAAAACAAGCTTGCTCCCTCTTCCCTATGACTTCCCCCCACATATTTATACATGGCCATCATGTCTCCTCTGAACTTTCTCTTCGTCAGGCTAAACAGGCCCAGCTCTTTAAACCGCTCCTCACAGGGATTGTTCTCCAGACCCTTGATCATTTTAGTAGCCCTCCTCTGGACACATTCCAGTTTGCCAACATCTTCCTTAAATTGCAGTGCCCAGAATAGGACACAGTATTCCAGGTGTGGTCTGACCAAGGCAGAGTAGAGGGGTAGCGTGTCTTAGAATAATAGAATCATAGAATCAAAGAGTTGGAAGAAACCTCATGGGCCATCCAGTCCAACCCCCTGCCAAGGAGCAGGCATATTGCATTCAAATCACCCCTGACAGATGTCTTCCCTGGATCTAGACACTATACTCTTATTTATGCAGCCCGAAATCCCATTGACTTTTAAGATGCTGCACTGCATTGTTGGCTCATGTTTAATTTGTTGTCCACGAGGACTCCAAGATCTTTTTCACATGTACTGTTCTTATTCTGTATTTTTGCATTTCATTTTTTCTGCCTAAGTGGAGTATCTTGTATTTGTCCATGTTGAAATTCATTTTGTTAGTTTGTCCCATCTCTCTAATCTGCTCCTGTCTAAATATCTATTTTATTTTTTTTAATTTACTCCCTCAAACTAATTGCATTTAATCTCCTTCTCACCTGTCTTCTTCCTCTTATTGATCACTTTCAGTTATTCTTATCCCAAGTGCAAAACTTTCAGTAATTTGGTATAAACAATGCTTTACAAATTCCAATTCAGATATAGATTTTGAATAAATACAGGAAGTCCTGGAGTGACAGGGAAGATAGGTTCTGTAGGTCTGTTCTTAATTTGAATTAGTATGTAAGTCAGAACAGTCTTATATATAAAATGAGAGAGAGAGAGAGTTAGTGTTTTGGATATCACGGGAAAGTGTTAACCCCTTTGTAACATTTCTTTTGTTGTCTATGCCCTTATTCAGAAGAGTCCATCTCATTTTCCGTCCCTGTCACAATTGAATTTTGAAAATTTTTGGTTGTTGGAGAAAAAGGATGGGTGATATTCAGTGGAGGCACCTTTTTCCCATGATAACTTTTCTGGGAGTGAATTTCCCTTCCTAGAGGTAGATTTCCTCTCACTTCCTGTTGTCTCACCCCTGTTTGTAACTGAGGGACTGCTTGTACAGTACTTTTCTCGTGTTTCTGTTAACTATGGTACTGAAAAAATCATTTTGAATTGTGCTTTACATTTTTGTCAGTTTTTTCCCCAAAACTAAACACATGAAAATGAAAAGACTCCTGAGAAATTCTTAACAAATGCTTTAAAAATGCTATACTTACCGGCAGAATCTGAAAATGTTTGATTTTTTGATGATGACAGAGTGTGAGTACAAATGCCTTTGGGTTACTTTGACTATCCCGGAGAAGAAATAGCCTTGGGAGAAAAATTATAATTTTTAATTAAATTTACTACAAATATTCTCATATAAATTATTTTTTGTTTGATTATATTATCAGCATAAATCAGAACCTAAAAGTATTCACAATTACAATAATCCATACTTTAGAATTGTGAAACTACAAAACACATCTCCGCCTGACTATTCCATTGATTCAATACTCAAACCAGAGCATAAATAACTAGCACAGTGAACAAAAAACAGCAAGAAGGCAACCATGTAATTCTTCTTAAACATATTCCAACAATTATGACAACAGTTACATTGCATCATTGGAGTATACGTGTGTGTCCCCCCACTCGTGGGAAAGCTTGATTCCACAACCCCTGCTATAATGAGCCCTCCTCCACAAATAACCTGCTTCTCTTGTATCTCACCCGAGTTTTTAATTAGTTTTTCTTTTAATTATTACATGTAGCCCGCCCATTGTCACTGTGTTTGTGCTTATTGTAATTTTATATTGTTATGTATTCACATGTTTTATGTAATTATGATGTTGTTGTTTATTGTTTGCATTTTTGGTTTGCATTTTCGGTTTTACTCTGATGTAATTTGTTGTTTGGGCTTGGCCTCATGTAAGCTGCCCCGAGTCCCCATCAGGGAGATGGTGGCAGGGTATAAATAAAGATGATGATGACGATGATAATGGTGATGATGATGATGATGATGATGATTATTATTATTATTATGTAATTAATGTAGTTGTGCTTTCATTACAATAAAAAGAATATATTGATAAGTTTGTTATTTGTAATAAATTACTTTTGAGCTCCACTGTAGATAATATTTCTCGGGCTGGGTATAGCTGGATAGATACAAGGCACTTTTCCTACACACCAGCAAAAGAAGATTGTGTTTTTTCCCCTAAGGATAGGTATGCTGTAGGCTTTTAAGACTATGTGAACAAGGACACTGAGATCATGGTCATGCCCAAGATCTTGTAAGACATAGTAAGAAATTCTCCCCATCTCCAGGAAAAAATGCATACCCATCCACAAGGCCCTGCTGTTTAATAATCCGATGTGATTCCTCTCTAGAGATCCTGCCGTGAAACCAGTGCTGTGCCCTATGAATACCTGAAAGAGAAATAAACAGTTAACACATACATATTGTATTCATCTGTGCAAGGAATAATAAACATCAAAATGTCTTGTACCTTTTTATCAGTGTTCACAATAGTATTAGCTAAGAATTGGAAATGCGTTGGGGAAGTGACTCATCTTAAATAGTGAATACTGTTGGATCAAGTATTACATAAAAGTTTAATATTCTTTGAGAGGAAACTAGGAGACACATGAAAGCCTTCGACAAGACATGTTTATTGATATATGGGAATTTAGTTGATTTCATAAGATATGTTATTGAATCCTTGATAATTTGGAAGATGAAGATCCATGATTATTTACCGGAAAGGGAGAAAATATATGTATACTGTGTCAGAAAATTGCAGGGAGAATCTTTTCTATTTGTAAGTATTCTTAGGTGTGGGCATCAAACAACTTCAGATCTACCCATGAATTGCAATTCTACTTACCTGTGCTCACTGTGGAAGGATGAAGTGGACTTTGGGTCCCCAAAATATTCATTCTCGTACTGCGTTTCTGCAGAACATAGCAGTCAATATAAAATACCCGTCAAATTGTTAATACTGTATTTCAAACATTCTAAGAAGTCACTGATCATAAAATGCACATTTTCAAGCTTTGATTCTAAGAAAAAATAAATTTAAAGACTGGGTACTCTAATTAAATATCTTTTGTTTTAAAAATGTTTAGCACTAACTTAACTTCCTGTGAATTCCAAGTAATCATGAAGTTCACTACATGATTTCTGGTCAGTTTCTGTCTGTCATCGAATACTCTACCCTAAACGATCTGCAGGAAAAGTGTTTCTTGTGTGTTTTCAAAACATTTTTGAAGCTGTGTGATTTGTCCAAGCTTACCCAGACAGTTGCCATGGCTAAACGGGAATGCTACTATATCACACCTACTCTTCTGGCACAAAAACAGGGCCAAATATCATATACATCTATATCTGTATCTAAATTGGCAGTCCCCAAGTTACAAACAAGATAGCTTCTGTAGGTTTTTTCTTAAGCTGAATTTGGATTTATGTTGGAACAGCCATATCCAAAACTCTCTCTCTCTCTCTCTCCCCCCCCCCCTCTCTATATATATTAGGCTTGGTCGATCAAGAAAAAAAATTGTTCTAAACTCGTTTCGTATATAGGGGGCGCTGGCATTTCGATTTTAAAATTATTTCTCAAATTTTCTTGAAAAAAAGATTGGAAATAGCAAAAATCTGAATAGCTTCGTTTACTTCGTTAATGGAAGGTGCCCTCCCCCCATTAGTTTAAAATCTCGCAGTTTCCCCCTGGCCTCCCTGGCGACAAGCGGCGATGCGGTTTCCCCCAGTGGCCATCAGGAAGAGCTGGGTGTAGCCATGCCCTCGATATTGCTTCTAAAGGTATTTTATTTACGATTTCTTAACGAGATAAGAAATTAACGAGATGGATCAACCAAGCCTAATATATATATACAGCTTTTTATACTGGTTTTAAACCACTTCATTGGATGTGTTGCAATAGCAGATTCCCAGATCAGTTTAGTTTTTACACCTTATTTTATTTTTTGGTTATTTAATATTTAATGTTTCTTTTAATTAATTTTTTACTTAAGTGATATTTGTCTTTGCTGTTCTAATGTTGCACAAATCCAACGTAAAATCATACTACATATTTTTGACATTAATATTTAAATCTGAAATATATACAGAAAATCTTTATACGAGGGGTATTTTTTAAGTAAGGTCCGTTTTGTTGTAGACACTAGTAGTTCGCGCGCATACCGCAACGAGCAGCATGCGTCGTGTACCGGCATGCCTCGGGAACAACTGTGCTCAGTTTCCGCTCTGTAGCTAACCTGTACGGTTCTGTTCTGTGCTTTAAAAATGTTTAAGACTATCAACTCACCCGCTGCATGTGAGGTTCGCTCAGTGATACGGTTTTTGTCAGCAAGGAACCTGCCTGCTGCAGAAATTCATCAACAGATTTGTGAAGTGTACGGTGATACTGTTATGAGTGAAAGCAAAGTGCGTAAGTGGGTACGACAATTCAAAGATGGCCGTGACAACGTCCATGATGAGGACCGTTCCGGTCGCCCTTCTTTGATTACAGACGGCAGTGAACTCTTGGTTATCGGAGCAGGCAGCAAGTTTTTATGAAGAGGGTATTTTAAAATTGGTTCAGGTATGATAAGTGTTTGAACAAACTTGGCAACTATGTCGAAAAATAGAGTGAAGTATGTACTTTCTGAAAATAAATTTACTTTTTTGAAATAAACTTTCATTATGTACTTATGTTCCAACGGACCTTACTAAAAAAATACCCCTTGTATATAGATAGAGTGTGTGTGTTTTGGATGGCACGGGAACACTTAACACCCCTGTGGTGTTTGTTTTGCTGTCTGTGCCCCTATTCAGAAGATTTCATCTCACTTTCTGTCCTTGTAACAATTGAATTGAGGAAAATTTGGCTTGTCGTGGAAACAAGGACTGATGATAGAGCTTGAGAGTAGGCACTTTTTCCCATGGTAATTTTTATCGGAGTGAGTTTCCCTTCCTAGGGGTAGATTTCTCTCTCTTCCTGTGTTCAAAACTACGAATCATTTGTAAGTCAGATGTTTGTAACCCAGGGACTGCCACACACATATATAAACAAAGATAGATAGATAGATAGATAGATAGGAGAAAACCCATTCTTAAATGGCAAATGAAAATTAAAACACTGGCATCATCCATGTTGCTCATATGGAAATTAGCAATATCTCCAACCTCCATCCATGCCTTGAATTATGAGCAATCTTCAATTAATTCAAACATTATGAGAAACCATGTCACTCCAGTATGGATATGTCAAATGATAATGTTATCTAAGCTTCAGTTCATGTGGACATTTTCAGTCAGTAGTAGTAACCAGACATGATGATACTACAATAAAACCTCTTCAGGTCATACTAAGGGCTAATTGAAAAGTAAATAGGAGAAGCTGACTTACCCTCCAAGCATGTCCTTCTTCTAAGGCTGCATTCTGTGCTTCTGCAGGATTTTCAATAACTCTTCCTATTTGTCCGGAAAAGTCCATTGCTACTAAGGAATTTTCAGACACGCTTCTCTGGCAGGATTTGTTTTAAAGAAACAATTGGTTATTATGTAATTACATTGCATTTAAATGTTTCTTCAACTCTTCTATTTACATTTTAAGACTAATCTTTTATACAGGTTGATATAGTGGTAATAACTTTTTTCCCTTTTTTTTAAACCAAGGATACAATTCTTAGCTAATTTCTTTTTTAAAGTCCAAACATTTAAGCAATGTTCTTCCTGCTGCCTAGAAGTCTCTGAAAACTGTGCAAAAATTGGAATGTGATTTTTGTGTGTGCAGAAAACAGCATTTTATTTGAAAAAAAAATGTATTTTTGTGCTTGTGTTATGTTTTAACGCTTGTTCTGAGGAGACAAGGCTTCTCCTGAGTTACTGACTTGGTTGGAGGGGGATGCCTCCGTCTCTGGAGCTCAGCAACAGGAAGAGGAAAAGAATTTCTTTTGTCAGGAACTGCAACATGCACAACTACGTCAGTACATATACACAAAAATAGATCGTGATGAAGTTGCTGCAGCGAGTGACAAGAGGAATAAGACAAGGTTGTCTGTTATCACTGATATTGTTTGCTATGGTGATAAGAGTTATTTGCAAATGTTATAAGGAGAGATAAAAAACTAGATGGAATAAGTATAAACGTATATGGCTTACTGTAAAAGAGCGAGGTAATCATACATGGCATTATAGCCTTATAATCTGAGGCAAGGTATAAATCAAACAATCTTATTTCTTAGTATAGTGGAACCTCTACTTAAAAGTGCCCCAACTTAAGAGCATTTTGGGTTAAGAGGTGTTGCTCAGCCCAGGTTTCACTTTGACATAAGAGCAGAATTTTGATTTAAGAGCTAGCACCAAAGGAAACGCTAGCGCAAGAGTACAACAGCTCTTGTCCATTCTGGGAGTCTGCTGTCCACTTTGCTCTTATCTTTAGGTTAGTTTATTTTGTGTGGTTTTTATTCCTGATATGTTTGGCTTCATGAAGAGAGGGAAGAGTACAGTATGAAGAAAATGATGCTTCTGCCTCTTCACTTTGTGCTTTGTGCTTCCTTGCCACAACTTTGTGCTTCTACCATTTCATCTTTCTTTTTATTGTTCTGTGTGAATCTGAAGGTTTTACCTTGCTGTTACACCGGCCAACACACATTTTGTTGCCTCAAATGGGCTTCCTTGCCACAACTTTGTGCTTCTACCATTTTAAACAGTAGCATCTGCAATTGGGATAAGACTCAATGTGATATGTATGACAATGGACTGTCCCAGACAATGATTTTTAAACTGGTGTGATTTTAATCAAATGTTTTAATGAATTTTAATGATTTGTTTTAAATGTGTCTATGACTGTGGTCAGTACTTAAATGATTGCTTGTTGTGAAGTTGCCCTGAGTCCCTCTCCCCCCATCCAGGGGTGAGAAGACGGGGTACAAATGTACAAAATAAATAAATAAATTGTCAGGTTTTACAATGTATTGTAATGTAATATAGCTGAGTCATGCACTGCTAATGGGCTTCTGTTGGGAATGCTGAGTCATGCATTAACTGTATACAGAAATTCATTTGGGGAATGTGTTCTGGCCTAGTCCAGGCGATTGTGAACGATGCAATCCTGGGTTTGAGTTGAGTCAATGAGTTGGGAACCAATCAGTGATTGCTATATGTAAATGAATTGTATATAAGGAAGTCATGTACAGTGTATTCTCTCTCCTTGTGCTGTGATGTTGTTCGTCGAAGGCTATATGTAATTAAAAGAACCTGTCTGCTAAGACAAGATATAACTGTATGCTGTGGTAAGTTTGTAATATCATCTAGACTGGGGGAAAAGACAATGGTAAAACTGACAATGGCCGGGCATGTGCTCAAGTGTCTATAAAAGGTTCCAGAGTGACTGCAGGCTATGGGAGCAGTTGACTGAAAATACTGTGCAGGAAGAAGCTACTGGAAAGCACTGAAGTTGTGCAACTGATCTGCTGCTGAATTGTGAAGTTAATCTCAACATAAATAAATAAATAAAGTTGAGCTTTCTTTTTTATTGTTCCATGTGAATGTGCATGCATACATTATTTGTTATTTATATAGTACATGTTCTTATTTAAAACACATACCAAAAAGATGGAGGGGGGGCTCGGTGTAGAATGGATTAATTGTAGGAAAATTTGCTTTGAGATAACAGTGTTTTGAGTTAAGAGTTCAGTCAAGGGACGAATTAAGCTCTTAACTGAAGGTATCACTGTATTTTTAGTTATAGAAAGTGTTACAGCTGAAAGAATTACCAATAGAAAAGATACATCTTTTTTCCTTTCCTTTCCTTCTCTTCACATAGCACATACCAAAATAAATATACATTTTCACATGTCAGAAAACAGATTGTGTGTTGTACCAAATGATAGACATGTCATATATAGATACATGATGTATGCTTTACCATATGGTATGCCATATGGTTATAAAAAAGGGATTGCTCATTGGAAGATAAGCATAAGCTTCATCTACAAGTCTGATTGGCCAGACTTACGTATTTCCAAAGCAGTTCCAGTGCAGAAGGGAAAATGTACAATCTCATCATCTCATCTTTTTTCACCCTCCCTCCCCTTGATCCTTTATTTAATGACTTAAAGTCACTGCCTACCAGGTAGAAATCTCTTGTCTAAACTGTAGTATGCAAGTGAAAATATTCTGTATTTGAAAACAATGAACTCACTATGGGAGTAGTAAAGTGTGGATGCACAGCTTTCCTTTGTTGAGGAATTATGTAGTTCTGGTACAGCAACATCCCATACTGAGGATTGGGGGGGGGGGGGGGGGGGGGGGAAGGGGGGGGGGGGTGGAGAAGAGAGAGAGAGAGAGAGAGAGAAAAGAAATCAGGCAGCTGCTTAATAGTGCAAAGCTGTGTGCTCTTCTAGATTTTACCGACCAGCTTTAAAGAGCTAATTTACTTAACTTTCCATGACACAATCATGTTTATACAAAGAATATGATTATCTTTTCCCCAAGTACTACATATAATATAGTATGTGACCAGTGATAACTATTTGTTGTTGATCACTGGATTTTATGGTGTTCTCTAGTAAACTGTCAAAAAGAATACTGTGATTTATTGTATTTATTTACTGGTTTATTTACTTAATTATATTATTTATTTATATTACAGCCCACCCTTCTTCCAATGTAACCCCCAAGGCCATTCTCATTGAAAAGGAAAGCAATTGCATGCACAAAACTCACAAGCATAAACTGACTGCAATAGACACAACATTCATAAAAATGAAGTCTATCCTCAAGCCTTGCAGTGGCTTTCTTATGGAAATTTGCACCAAAACGGAAGGGAAAAAAATACCTTTAGAAGCCTAAAGGCTGTCATCCAGCATGTTCTGCTTTGCTCATCCTCGGCACACAGCAACCGTAACTCTTTCGTTTCATTTCTTGCTTTTTTGGGCTGCAAATCAAAGACATTACAAGACAATCTCTCATAGCAAATACAAGATACCGATAGCGTATGATCTACTCATTAATTTATATAGCAGTTAAAGTGCTCATGTTATTTCTAAAAGACTTCCAGCCAACCCAATAAAGTGCCATATTTACTCAAGTCGAATGCCCACCTTTCTTTATCACATCACTAAAATTAAGGTGCGCATTAGCTTCAATGGCACACCTAAATCTGCCCGAACTGTTGGGCAAGTGATCCTAACTGGGGACAGAAGAGGAAGAGGCAACAGTGGCCATGAAAAGGCTGGTGGGAAACTGATGGTAGCAATGAAATGGTTGGTGGAAAGGCCAGATGGAGGAGCATGGCTTTCCACCAGTCTTTTTGTGGCCACTGCTGCCTCTCCCTCCTCTGTCCCCAACAGTGCAGGCAGATTTAGGTGACCATTTAACCCATTTTGCTTTGTTTCCATCTACAGTTGTCCTCATGATGCACTTTCCCCTGTCCTTAATGAAGGACAAACCCCACTGCTCCTCCTTCTTGGGCTCCTCCCTCACAAATACACTTCTTCTATCCCTATCTCATCCAGGGTTTTAACATTTTATCCTGTGCATTTGGCCCGCTCTTTGTGTTTGACTTTTATTATATTATGTTGCACTGTTTATTTTATTTTGCTATTTTATGTATTTTGTTGTGACATAATCTTTCTGCTGTGTTGTATTTTATTTTGCTGTATTATTTTTGGCCTTGGCCTCATGTTAGCCGCTCCAAGTCCCCTTTGGGGAGATGGTTACAGTAGTCTAGATTGGACTACTGTAATGCGCTCTATGTGGGGCTGCCCTTGAAAACAGCTCGGAAATTTCAGCTGGTCCAACGGCCAACGGCCAGCTGGTCCAACGGTCCAACGGCCAGGATGTTAACTGGCACTCCTTACAGAGAAAGGTCAACCCTCCCGTTTAAGGAGCTCCATTGGCTGCCGTTCATTTTCCGGGCCCAATTCAAGGCGCAGGTGCTTACCTACAAAGCCCTAAACGGTTTGGGACCTGCCTACCTGCATGACCGCATCTCCATTTATGAATCCATGCGCTTTCTTCGCTCATCCGGAGAGGCCCTGCTTGCGATCCCACCAGCATCGCAAGCGCGTTTGGTGGGGATGAGGGACAGGGCTTTTTCTGTGGTGGCCCCCCGACTTTGGAACACCCTCCCTAAGGACATCAGGCAAGCCCCTACGTTGGCAGTCTTTAGGAAGAGTTTGAAGACCTGGCTGTTCCGATGTGCCTTTCCAGAATAGGAAACTCCAGCATTATGTCCCAGAAGCACTTTATCAGAGTTTAAGATGGTATGCACATTGCACTTACCCTAAAATCCTACATCCACCTGTCACACCCAGCACTTTTTTTAATCTGTACCCATTACATTCGGCCCGGCCCTAGTTTTATTGTGTCATGGTGTATTGTCTTTATTGTTTACTGCTTTTGTTTTAATGTTGATTTGCTTTAAGTTATGTGTTTGTTATGCTGTTGTTTTATTGAGGCCTCGGCCTGTGTAAGCCGCATCGAGTCCTTCAGGAGATGCTAGCGGGGTACAAATAAAGATAATAATAATAATAATAATAATAATAATAATAATAATAATAAATGGTGGTGGGGTTTAAATAAAGATGATGATGATGATGATGATGATGATGATGATGATTATTATTATTATTATTATTATTATTATCGATTTCCTACCAGGTCTAACAGAGAAGCATGGCTTTCCACCAGCCTTCTTGCAGCCACCTCTCCCTTGCATTACATTTGGCAGGAGATCCTGGTTTTTTTGTTTTGTTTTGTTTGGGTTTTTTTTTGTAATGCACACCTTCAAAACAAAGGTGCACATTACATTTGATGGCACATTATACTTCAGTAAATACAGTAGATAGGCAAGACAAATATATTGCAGAATGGACACAGTGGCTGAAAAACAGCTCTCCCTTAAAGTAGGAAGTCCTCAATAATGGAGGCAAAGTTTGAAAGACTTCCCTGCTAACTCCATTAAGAATTACCACCTGTAATTTTTGGATATAAACACAACATCTTGAAAATGTTCGATTCCAATTAAACCTTGAAGCTCTTCAGCTAAAATTTACCCCCAGGAAACATGAAAACCCTGCATCACAACATGATACAATACTGGAGAGGCAGGTTTGGGAAATGTGGCCTGATCCAAATAATCACCCTTAAAAAGGAGACATCTTTCTCCATCACAATACGCAATTACAATACAAATGGGATTAAATAACCACTCTTATCTGACATGGAACCTGGGGTCTCTGCTTGAATGTGGGTATGGTGAGTCTATCACAGGAAACAATGTCCTCTGAAATGAGAGGACCTGCGGAATGGAGACACGGAGTTGAAGTGGTTTATTGAGATTCTATCCCTCTTGCCATGTGCTTTGTCCTGCAGGTCTCTCTGTGTACCTAGACTGGTGCCAAAGAAAGATTAGGAATACTATTGGTGTAGTGCCTACCCCAATGCTCAATGGTCTTCCTTCCTCCTGTGTTCTTGTGGTTGGTTTTCTCTCTTGATATGTCTTTGAGGCCTGATGGTTTAGGCAGAATGGACCTTATACAATGTGCAAGATTTTCTATTGTTATGCTCTTGGTTTTTTAAATGCTTCATGTTTTTAACTATTGATAACTTAATCACTTTTTAGCTTTTCTATTTTTAAATTTTTTAACTATGTTTTTAAAGAAACAAAACTCTTGTAACATGTCTTGAGTCCCAAACTAGGCAACATGATGATGATGATGATGATGATGATGATTAAAATAGGATAGAATAAATGTAAATATAATCATTCTGTTTATTTTGTCTGGGACTGACAAAGTGAACGTGCAGAACATTATTATTATTATTATTATTATTATTATTATTATTATTATTATTATTATCTTTATTTGTACCCCACTAACATCTCCCAAAGGACTCGGTGTGGCTTACAAAGGCCAAGGCCCTCAAAAAAACAACAGCATAACAAATGCACAATAAAACTCAAGCAAACCAATAAACATTAAGCAATAACAATAAAACATTAAACAATAACATCGTGACACAGTTAAAACTAGGGCTGGGCCAAATGTAATGAATAAAAATTAAAAGTGCTGGACATGACAGGTAAAATGTAAGGATTTTAGGGTAGGTGCGGTGTGCAGACAATCTTAAATCTCTAGTAAAGTGCATTTGGGACATGATGCTGGGAGTTTCCTATTCTGGAAAGGCGCACTGGAACAGCCAGGTCTTCAAGCTCTTCCTAAAGACTGCCAACGTTGGGGCTTGTCTGATGTCCTTGGGGAGAGAGTTCCAGAGTCGGGGGGCTACCACAGAGAAGGCCCTGTCCCTCGTCCCTACCAAACGTGCTTGCGACGCAGGAGGGATCATGAGCAGGACCTCTCACAACTGGAACACTTTGTATTACTATAACAATTAAATTTGTAACATTATGAATTACAGTAATTTTGAGCATAAACTGCCTTCTTTTCAAAAGGGAAAAATAAAAATTACCTTTATACAAAATCCATAATCTGTTGGAGCACTGTACAGTTTCTTCCCTGCTACCAACGAGAAAATATTGCTATCTTCAAGGTCAGCTAACAACTGCAGATGCCTTGGTTCCTGTATAAATAGTTGCAACAAGTTAAAATACAAAGACTTTTCAATTTCTACATTCTCTGAAAGTTAAAAAAAATGCAACCACAAGAGGGCAATAATACAAACCAAAAGCTTTCTCAATTCCAGATTCTGTACTTTCATCATTGTGCCAATTATCCAGAATGGGCCACAGTAATAAAAAAATCAATATTTTCCGATTTTAACAAACTGATCTAGATATTCTACTCTTTTCCAAATTTAGTAAAGTTTGTTGTTGTTAACTGCCATTGACATCAACTCATGGCAGCCCCATAAATGAGAAATCTCCAAGGACTTCATTAGACGGACTTCTGGCTCCATTTCCATGAACTTTGGAAACTGAGCTCCACGGGAGACATGGAGGCCATCACATGACACAAGGACACTTCTGGTGGTACTCCCTGGGGCTCAGTTTCCGCAGCGCATGGAAACAGGCCCAGAAGTCCATCTTCAGGAGTCGGATTTTATCCAACTTCAAACTGGAGAAAGTGGGTATAAGACAAGGAACGGATATGAGATGGCTGGCCATTCCAGAAAATGGAGGAAGATGATAGGGAACAGAGACAGACAGTTCCCTCTGCTTTCCCCCCACCCATCTGATGAAGTTCTTAGTCACTCTGTCTTGTAGTTTTGTCAAGACCTTCTTGATTGGGTTTATCCATGTGGAATGCGATCTTTCCCTTTTCCTACTGCCTTCTATCTTACTAAGCATTACTGTATTTTCTAGTGACTCATGTCTTTTATAAAATGTTGCTTCTAAAAGGCCTCAGACTTCAGAGGCTGAAGAATCACAGCTGTGTCCACTGTGAAACTTCTACATTCCCTCACTCCTATTTTTACAAATGTGTGAAGCCCATTCTGCTTCAGAATTCTGCTTCAGTTTGGATAAATGTAGCCCACTCTTTTTAACAATTAGATTTATTTACTTTTGGATCTAATCATTTGATCTGCTTTAGAGGATAACTTAGTATCACAGAGACAAATTAAAAATAAGAAGACTGCTACAGTTCTTTAAACAATGTGGAATAAATAACATTATTTAAACTAACCTAAGTGAAATTACCTTTGAAGAACCTTTTGTAGAACAATACAATCCAGATCTCCTCAGACAAACATACAGCTTCTTCCACGATTTCCTCCCCAGTTCTTTTACATGTAAGAACCCTTGTATTTCTGGACAGCTACTCGAGTTTAAAAAATTCTGTTGGAAATTAAATTCAGAGTGAAGAGTGAGGGCCAGAGTGAAGAGAGATGGGGCCAGGGGACAGTTCCATCTCGTCTCCTGCATATGTCATCAGTTAGGGACCCCTCCCCCAGCACCAACTGCTGCTCTGGGCCAGAGTGAAGAGAGAGGGGCGCAGAAGACAGTTCCACCATATCTCCTGTGCTATGCTAATAGTATAATGTAATATAATATATTGTATATACATATAATATTTATAATATAATAATGTAATACAATATAATACTACTAATAATATATTATAATTATATATTTTATATTACATGTAATATTACTAATAATATTAAAATATAATGGCATAGTAAAATATAGTAATATATAATACTGATATCGTACTATGCTAATAATATAGTATATTGTATGTATATATTTCTTGTAAGCCGCTCTGAGTCCCCTTCAGTGTGAGAAGGGCGGCATATAAATGTCGTAAATAAATAAATAAATATGCTGAATTCTACAATTATAATAAGGGTGAATGAGCTACAATCCACTTATTGCACCAGATAGCATTTTTCCTGTTGGTGACCAATAGTTTTCTTAGAAAACTGCTACATAAAATTGATGCCCATGGGTTTTGAGAAAAGTGTCATTTTTTCATTAAGTTCCTTTGAAGAGGGCATTGTGATGATAATCAATAGACTTCCATTACAATTTTGAGGCAGGGAGCCATACAGTATTAAAGAATTTAATGGTCGTTACCCTGAGAAGAAATTATATTTGCCATGCATTGTGACAAGAAAACAGAAACAGCAAATATACAAACTAAATCCTCTATTGCAGGGGTAAGGAAGCTATCGTCCAGGGTGCCCAGTTCAAGAAACCATGGAAATCTGGCAGTGGAAATTGCAATGGTAAATGATTTTGTGGTTTTGCCATCAAAACATTTCTGCTGGATCACATATTAGTTCTTTTGCTTAACAAGGAATAAAACTACAAGTATATTTTTAGCATACCTGTAGGAGTTGTGACTGTGGAATACAGCCATTTGACTGCTGACACCAAGCAACCATCTGTTCTGGAAAAAAGTTCTTGGAATGGATGTAGGTTAGGGGAAAGAAATAGACAAAAACATTTTAGTCCTCTTCAGACATTTAAAATATCTGTGGAGATATATTATATTACTTAAGGCTAATAGCTGTTGTAGTCCCACATATAAGAAATTATAAATTCTGCACCCATGTTTTAATATACTCCTGCAGTATTATCAAAGTTAGTTTCTATGGCTTCCCATAATAATGATGATAATAATAATAACAACAACAATAACAACAACTTTATCCCATCTCATCTCTCCTCTGGGGACTTGGAACAGCTCACAACAAAAATGGTAGCCATTTGATGCCAAAAGTACATAATAAATAAATTACAAGTAAACAAGTTAAAAAATACGAAATCAATAAAACACAATCAAGTAAACATGATGCTGATGCAGGGTTAAAAAGTAAAATGACATGATGGGGGCCAGGTCATTACCACAAAACAGTACACAGCTTCAAGAGTGGGAATAAGTGCATTTTATGACCTGTGCAATTGTCTTCATCGAGGTGGCAGCAAACTTTTACATATAGCAATACCACGAGCTGAACCCATAAAGCAGCTCACAAAGAATTATTACAAACTTTGCTGCAAGAACAATAAAAAGAAGAATCAGTACCACTTCCCTGACACTAGATCAGTGGTTCCCAACCTGTGGGTCCCCAGATGTTTTGGTCTTATGAAACATCTAGGATGTTAAGATCTTCTGGGGAGGCCCTGCTCTCGCTCCCACCTTCTTCACAGATGTGTCTGGCGGGGACGAGAGACAGGGCCTTCTTAGTGGTGGCCCCTCGACTGTGGAATGCCCTGCCTAGAGATATAAGATCAGCTCCCTCCCTCCGGGACTTTTCAAAAAAAGGTGAAAACCTGGCTTTTTGAGAAGGACTTCCCAAATATGGCATAGCTACATGGAATTATGGAACTACTTGATAACGCAATGGAATAACGATTTGACATGGAGATGCTCATGATAATGTGTTAAGGCTTTGTACAGTTTATATATTTTTTTATATCATATCTTATTGTTTTTAACAGAATTTCTTGACTGTTTTTACATGTTATAATTGTTGAAGCATCAAATTGTTGCCAACTTGTGAACCACTCTGAGTCGCCTCTGGACTGAAAGGGGCGGTATATAAATAGAGTAAATAAATAAATAAATCTAACTCCCAGAAATCTTAACAGCAGGTAAACTGGCAGGGATTTCTAGGAGTTGTAGGTCAAAACATCTGGGGATCCGCCAATTGAGAACCACTGCACTAGACTAAGGTTCTTATCTTATGTGTCTTTGTATTGTCGAAGGCTTTCATGGCCGGAATCCATGGGTTGTTGTAGGTTTTTCCAGGCTATATGGCCATGTTCTGGAGGCAATTTTTCGCAGGAGAAAAATTGCCTCCAGAACATGGCTATATAGCCCGGAAAAACCTACAACAACTTATGTGTCTTTTTTCACCACTCTGCCATATAGTGTCCCCATCCTGAAAAACCTGAAATGTGTCAAGACAAGATACACTTGACAGTCAGTCCTCTTGTTTTACGCACATTTTTATAAAACACAAATATATATCTAGCATGATGCTCCCTCACCTGCAAACAAGTCATAAATATGAGGAAACAGGCTATTTATTAGCATGTTGTCATCAAATATACTGCTTTGAAATTGGGGCATCATTTTGAAACACTATTACATATTTACCCATGTATTGTAACTATGTTGTGCCTGAGCTGTGTGTGTGTGGGGGGGGGGGGATTATGATGATGATTAACTTACTTTTGTACTAATAAAATACAATCTACTAATCTTCTAATCTTAGATTAAGGAAACTGTTTAACACAAATGAATAACAATGCAAAACACAAAACAGACTTTCTGGTAGACAATGCAATCACTATTCACGTCGATACAATCAAGAAAACCACGCAACTTACTTTGTAGTATCTGATTTTAAATTCAACTTTTAGTCTTCATTAAACCCACTGAAGTGGCATGCCATTCTGAATGGGTTAACTCTAGTTGGGACTAACAATTGAATTCAGGTTCAAGTGAGCATGTGAAACTGCCTTCTCAAGAAAGTTACAGTTGATAGTTCCATCTCATTCCTAGACTTTTTGAGATGTTCTTAACTGGTGACCAAGGATCAAACTTGTCATCTCCTACATACAAAGCGTGCTCAGCTACTGAGCTAAAGCCATAACCCACACTGATTCAAAGTACACATAGTCAAGGCTGCATTCTTCATGTGTCACCATGCCAGCAGATGATTAAAAAGCAAGCAGACGATTAAAAGCTTCCTCGTGAAAAGAGGATATATTTGTCATGGAAATATTTCTTTTGTTAATCATCACATGGGAGTTCCTTGTTATTACAAGGTTAATGTTGGAAATTATTTTACTTCTACATAATCAGAATCTTTCACATTAGGACTATGATACTAATAACTGTCTTTAAAATTAGTTTGAATAATCTTAAACCAGCACACTGTGCAAAATGTAGAATTTTTTTAGGCACACAAAACATGATTACCACGTCAATTAGATTTGACGTGGATGACTAGGACGGTTTTAAATGGTGTATTTTAATATTTTGATAAATGTTTTTAATGTTTATGTATCTATATAAGAATTTGTGTCCCGGCATTGAATGTTTGCCATATATATGCTGTGCTCCGCCCTGAGTCCCCTTTATGTTTCAAATAAATAAATAAATGATTACGCATTACAAAATAACTGAATACTCAGTTCTTGTGGGTTTTTTCGGGATATATGGCCATGTTCTAGAGGCATTTCTGACGTTTCGCCTGCATCTATGGCAAGTATCCTCAGAGATGAGGTCTTGCTATAGATGCAGGCGAAATGAGGATGCTTGCCATAGATGCAGGCGAAACGTCAGAAATGCCTCTAGAACATGGCCATATAGCCCGAAAAAAACCCACAAGAACTGAGTGATTCCAGCCATGAAAGCCTTCGACAATAACTGAATACTCACCACAGGGTTCTTAAAAAATTCATATTTAGCATAATTCTTCCTGAATAAAAATTTACTTTCACTTCCCATTGTGGATTCCACTTGAACAACAAGTTCATGATCTTCCAAGCACCTCTCTATAAAAGGTAAAACATAAGTTTTCAATTTAGCAAAAGCGCAAGTGGGTTGGTAGGTGTATACATGCTTCATACACAGGCATAACACAAAAAGGGCCATAGTTCCAAACCAATTGTTTTTGAATATTCTGCTTTGATTTCAGGCTCTCTGGATATATTTGTCATGGAGTCATTACTTTTTTAAAAAAATGTTTTATTGGTTTTTTCCACTCCCACCCTCCCCTTCTTGCACATGCAATTTATACATCAAACTACAGAAGTTACATTTGAAATATCAGTCTCAGTCTTAATTTTTCTACTCCACATCTTAACACATTCTCTAAATAATTCCTAACTGGTTCCCACATCCTCTTAGTTATTGTAACCTTTTCAATTTTATCTATATTATTCCATTTGCAATTTGTTATTTCCACATTTAACATATTAACTATATAGTTATACCAATTAATCAGCGTCCATTTTGTTTTGTCTTTCCAACCCCTCACTAAAACAATTTGTGCGATTAATTTGTCGACCAATTTTTCCTTTTGTATATTCTTCACTCCTGCTATCCGTGCATGTAGTATATTTCTATTAATTATTAGTATTTATAAATTTAACATTCTATTGATTTCCCCTACAATCATTTTCCAGTATTCTTGCACTTGATCACATTCCCATATCATATGATTAAACACCACTCTTTGTTCACAGCCATGCCAACACCTATCCTTTATCCCTGGTACAAAGCGTGAAAGTTGTGCAGGAGTTCTGTACCATTTATGTAACATTTTCCTTCTTGCTTACCTTAATACATTATACTTTTCTTTTGCTATATTACTTATTTCCCTTTGGATGTCTTCCCTCTCAATTTCCATGTCATGGAGTCATTTCATGCTTCATAAAATTGTGGCAATAATTCAGACCTTATATTGTCTTCCCGCAGCAGTGAGCTACCTAAACCCTATTAAGATTTCACCAAAACTCCCTGTGAACTGTCTGTCCAAGACCCCTTCAACACTACCATATAATCCAAATTATCCAAGCAGATAATCCATATTATCTGACTGAACTGGACTATATGCTTCTACACTGCCATATAATCCAGTTCAAAGAAGACAATCTGGATTTTATATGGCAGAGTTGAAGAGGCCCAATATATCCTTAGAATGCATCCAATATTCAATGCTTTAGAAAAAGTTTATCCTTCATTTAGTGTCCTATTGAGAAGGTGGCTTTAATATTAAACACAGAGAGAGAGAGAGAGAGAGAGAGAGAGATATCCCCCAGCATATTGTTCTGCATTCCAGAATTTGGAAACATGTGACTTCTGCAGTATAATTCCTTTCCAATAAGTTGACATTTTTTTTTGGAAGGCCAAATTAAGATGGTGTACTCAATGAAGTTCTCTTTCATCACTGTTAAAATCACTGACCACTATCTCAGGATTTTTCTGTTCCCAATTTACATGCTTTCTAATATTCACAATAACTCAGTTTGAAAAAAATACAGACCTTAAACTAAAATACTGGGAAATTTCTTGAAAAGGGGAACCATAATGTACGTTGGCATGTTGCCTCATAAATAAACGTTTTGGTGATTAAATAAAATTTGCCATTATTTATTTATCGTGCCATCCGCAACCAGAACATTGTATTACATTTCTAACAGAACAAAACAAACAAACAGATAAAAACAAACAAAAAAAACCCCACAATTTTTGCAAACTTGGTAGCTGATTAAATGTCCTTTGACCAGTATCTGGCCACTTGGAGTGCCTCTGGTGTTGCCGCAAGAAGGTCCTCCATTGTGCATGTGGCAGGGCTCAGGTTGCATTGCAGCAGGTGGTCAGTGGTTTGCTCTTTCCACACTGGACATGCGTACTCAGCAGCAAAGTAGCATAGCGCAAGGGCAGATGTCTTCACTGTATCTGGTTGTGATCCCCAGGTTGTGCCAGTCAGCTTTCGTATGATATTGTTTCTAGCACCCACTTTTTGTTTGATGTTCAGGCAGTGCTTCTTGTAGGTCAGAGAACAGTCCAGAGTGACTCCCAGGTATTTGGGTGCGCTGCAATGCTCCAGTGGGATTCCTTCCCAGGTAATCCTCAGAGCTCGGGATGCTTGTCTGTTCTTAAGGTGAAAGGCACATAGCCTATGTGTCATACAATGTAACAGAGGGGCAAATAATAGGTTCTTCTTGGTTATTTTTTACTGTGCCTGCAGGATCTCTATGAAAAAATTAGATGTTGCTACATTTTGTTTGCATACAAATAAACCTGCTGGGTGTATTAAAGATCATACTTCTACAGGCTTATCCTCTCAATTCAATACAATACAATACTTTATTACTGTCACTGATCAGCACAAAGCGGGACACAAGCGCCTGGGAAGGGGAAACACAGCTCCCCAGTGAAGCAGTTATTTAAAAAATCAGATTAGAAAAAAGTTTAAAATCACAGTTAAAAAATGCACGCCAATGTAGCAGCTATAGAACGGGGGAGGGACTGATAGGAGGGGTCAATCCACCCCAATTTAATGCCTCTGCCTTCTGTTAGCATGTAAAGTTTAGGTATGATTCAGATAAAGTTTAATATACTGTATTTTCTGGCATATAAGACTACTTTTTAACCCAGGAAAATATTCTCAAAAGTTGGGGGTGGTCTTATGCACTGGGTGTCGTCTTATAGGGCAGGTGCTGAAACTTCCGAGCCAGACTGGAGAATCTGTGGTCACCGCATATGGTGGGGGGAGCTCAAAAACGGCCGCATCTCTGCTGTATGTGGTGACCGTATGAAAGCAGCAAGGGTGGTGCTGTACAAGTATGGTAGAAGAAAATCCACTCAACCAGGATTTGTGGAAAGAAGTGACTTGATGTGGTCCCAATGATAAGGTGAATGGGCGCCTCACCGGGAAGGTGTAAGTGAAGGACGGAGCAAGCTGCAGACATCCAGAACGCTGTGGATGTGCTGTACCCAGAAAAGCAGACCTGTTTGTTAGAAGAATTAGACCTCCTAAGAGCTATTTAGGAACTGTTAGGAATGTAACCTTTGAAGATATGTACCTCTGAGAGTTTGAAACATTTGAAACCATCAAGCTTCTGTACCTCAATAAACTTGTTACAGTTTTTTTTTTAAGTCAAGCCTATGTTACCATTCTTTTCCAAGTCAAGTCATGCTACATACTGAAGAAAGACCAAAGCAACATTACAAGCTCTTGGTTGTGTCATCAATATAATAAGCCCTCACGAAGAGGTGGCTCCTTTTTTACCAACTCTCTACATATTGATAGTAGTTATATATATACATCCTTACAATTTGGTGGCATCATTACAAATTAGTGGCCAAGCCTTTACAATTAGTAGCAGTAATATACAGGCTCCTTCACAGGGGGGCTCTGCAAATTCCTGTTCTTCAGGAATTCTCAAAGACTGCCATTGTTTCTGGAATGGCTTCTGCCAGTTCTTTGAATACATTTGGATGTAATTCACCTGACCTTGGAAACTTGAATTCAGATGACCCAGATATTCCTGTACTACCTATTTACCTCGTCTATGCTACATTTCCCCTACTTCATCTTCTGCTAAGTTGAGCACTGTTAACCTAACTAAGGAAAAATAAGTTGTTGAGTAGTTCTTCCTTTGTCTTCTGTTAGCATTCCATCATTATCTGTACACAGTGGCCCTACCATTTCCTTGTTCTTCCTTTTGTTGTATTTCACCTTTCTAGAAAACCTGAGCTCATTCTGTGCTTTGGATTTTGGAGCTGCTGTTCCATATTCTTACAAGCTGCTGGAGTGAAAGCCTGGCAGTGCTTGCAAGAAGATAGTATGCGACTTGCCCACACATTTAAGGTATTTCTTGAACCAAGCAGCATGATTGCATAAATTGAAGAGAACCGAAGTCAAAATGCCGGAAAGGAAACACATTAAACGTACTAAGTTGAAAAACATGAGGGATTGTCAAAGTACAGAAATCATCAAACCAAGAGAGCAGAGAATAGATCAATGCCAAAATGCTGTGGAAGAAGCCAAAACGAGAAGCCAGATTGAACCACCAAAGTCTGTGAAGCCTCCTAACATTAACATACTGTTGCCACAGTGGACAAAAAAGAAACTGAGACTCTGACAATGTCCACCTTTTTATACTATTGGGGAGACTGGGTGCGGCTACTATCAAAAAGTATCTTTTAGAGCTCTAGAAGGTTCCAAAGTGCTATGAGCAGGTGTAAAATAACAGCACTGGGACTGTGGTGCAGCTTACTGGGAGTCAGCTGCATTAAGATCACTACTGACCGAAAGGTCATGAGTTGGAAGCCAGCGTGGGTCAGAGTGAGCTTCCGACCTTTGTGTAGCTTGCTGTCGACCTTTGCAGCCCAAAAGGCAGTTGCATCTGTCAAGTAGGAAATTTAGGTACCGCTTATGCGGAAAGGCTAATGTAACTAATTTACGATGCCATAAAATCTTCAGCAAGCAAGCAAGTACTCCATCAGTGTCACAAGTGGATGGTGAAGCAACAGCTCCCCTGGTGGCCAGAATATCCTCATGAAAGCTGGAAAGTTAAATAGCTTGAGATTAACTTCACAATTCAGCAGATCAGTTGCACAACTTCAGCACTTTCCAGTAGCTTCTTCCTGCACAGTATTTTCAGTCAACTGCTCCCACAGCCTGCAGTCACTCTGGAACCTTTTACAGACACTTGAGCACATGCCCGGCCATTGTCAGTTACCATTGTCTTTCCCCCAGTCTAGATGATATTACAAACTTACCACAGCATACAGTTATACCTTGTCTTAGCAGACAGGTTCTTTTAATTACATATAGCCTTCAACGAACAGCATCACAGCACAAGGAGAAATATATACTGTACATGACTTCCTTATATACAATTCATTTACACATAGCAATCACTGATTGGTTCCCAACTCATTGACTTAACTCAGACCCAGGATTACATCATTCACAATCACCTGGACTAGGCCAGAACACATTCCCCAAATGATTCCCTATATACAGTGAATGCATAACTCAGCATTTCCAATAGAAGCCCATGAGCAGTGCATGACTCAGCTATACATTACAATACATTGTAAAACCTGACACCCCTCCTCATGCACTGACTAAACCCAACATTTCTGAAAACCTTAGAAACTTTTCTTCACCTAAAGCTTTCGTCAACACATCTGCAATTTTTTCCTCACTTCTTACATAGTTTGAACACACCTCACCTTCGCTAACTAATTCTCTTACATACCCATGCCTAACACCAACAGATCTAGACCTAGCTTTCAGACACTCCATCTTTGCTAATTCTATACACGTTTGTGAGTCCCCTCCAGGGTGAGAAGGGGGGAATATAAATACTGTAAATAAATAAATAAAATAAATAAAACAACCCATTTGTATGATTCACAAAGACTAATAATAATAATAATAATAATAATAATAATAATAACAACACTTTATTTGTACCCCGCTACCATCTCCCCAAGGGACTCGGTGTGGCTTACATGAGGCCGAGCCCAAACACAACAATACAAGAAGTAAGAAGAAACAATCTGTCTCCAAACCATCGTCTATGAAGTCATCTTCTTTAAATAAACCACAGTTAAGACTAACCATAGTTTAGATTTTCAACTCTGCTCAACTGAAAGCAAAAAATCAAGATTCTGACCCCATACTACACTAGGCCTGAGCTTCATGTATGTAACACCAATTATGCTTGTGTGAATCACAGAAACGGAGCTTTCAATTTTTAATCAGTGAGAAGCAACAAGTATTCAATACATGTAACTATGGAAATTATATATGGTAGCCATTCCTTCACTGTGGAATGGCTTCACTAAGACTGAAGTTCTTATTTACACACCACACAAGTCAGGAATCTACATTGCTTTTTTGGTGTAAGAATAGCTTCGACAAATACAGGATGCACTTGAAACAAAATACGGACTGATATGTATATGGTTTCTTTCCCATCATTGTTAATTACCACATTATTTGTGGGTAAACAGAAGCTTTTGATTTCCTAATCATCCTCCTGCCTAATTCATTCAGAGGTGTCACACAGCGGAGTTTGACAACACAATTAGTCACCATGGAAGCTATTGTGATGTCACGGGCACTGAATTGTGGCATCACTGAATGAAACTGGCAGGAGAAAGATGTTGCACACAAAGGAGAAAGATTTCTGTTCGTACAATATTGTGGTAATCTAAAAAGAAAAAGGCCTAAAAGCAGGACCTAGAATTTTAAAATTAATATAAACTAAAACAACTGTTGTAAGAGATGTGAATGCCTGTTGCCATTTTTATTTCATAGTTTTTAAGAGCCTTTTAAAAATGTATTATTTTGTATTGAATTCATATCTGACCTGAAAAACATGACCACACCAGACTACTCTGCTAGTACAGATTGAGAAACTACCATCTTCTATGCCATTAAGGGTATTCAAGGCATTCCAAATATGAAAAAATGAGTTCTCTTCTGCAGAAGATTTCTATCAAAAAGCTTGCTATTTCTGAAAGATATTTTGATGATGCATTGACCAAAAGATTTCATTAAATTCTGCTAACAGCATTGCTACTATTTTTCCCTTATGCAATAATAGATTTTATTTCATCCAAGTGAAATTCAATGTTAATTATTAATAATAATTTTATATGCATGCAATATTTGACAATCTTTTTGGAGTGAACAGTTATTGCGGCATCTCAATTTCAATGTGAAAGAGCTGCTGCATAGAGAAAAGAAGAAACCAGAGCTGCATCACAAAGTGTTCGATGTATTCATGATTTGTTAATTTAAAAAAATTCCAATGTGTTTCAACCTGCACACACTTCAAAGCTCTTCTTCAGGCTCAGAGTATCAAGCTTCTCTCCTGCTCATTAGCTGAGGTTACAAGAAAAGCCAGCTTTCTGCTGGGAGTCCAAATATTTTTCAGAAACTGTTAACCTGCCAGAATAATAAACGCAGATACAGAGAGCCTCATATGTGCCAAAATCTTATGTATCCACAAAGAAATCATGTACAACATGTTGTGGGTGCCCCGTTCTGATAATATCCATCAATATGTAATAGAGTTAGTTAGAAATAGGCATAGTTCCTTAATGTATTTGAGACTGTCAGAATAAATACCATGTATACTCGAGTAAAGCTGAGTTTTTAAGCCCTTTTTATGGTGAAAAAGCCCCCCTCGGCTTATACAAAGTTATTTATTATTTTATTCTGTAATTATTTTTATTTTTATTACAATTATTATTTTAGTCTAATTATTATTATTATTATTATTATTATTATTATTATTATGACATTTACATTATTTTACTCTATTATTTTATGACATTTATTATTTTTCTCTATTGTTATCACATTTGCTATTTTACTCTATTATTATCACAGTTATTATTTTACTCTATTATTACTGTTGTTATTACATTTCCATTATTTTACTATATTATTATATTTATTATTTTACTCTATTATTATTGGAAGAATACATAAACACATTTACATTGAAGAAGGTTAGAAGAGAGGTTTAATCAGAGTTGGACAGTCTTATTTTAAATTACAGTTTTACGTAAATATTCAAAAACATTTAACCTACTGATGCCTCAATTAATGTAATTTTATTGGTATCTATTTTTATTTTTAAATTTACCAGTAGCTGCTGCATTTCCCATCCCCGACTTATACTCAAATCAATGAATTGTCCAAGGGTTTTGTGTTGTTTTTTTTTTTGTTTTTGTTTTTTTGGTAAAATTAGGTGCCTCGGCTTATATTCAGGTCAGCTTATACTCGAGTCATAGAATCATAGAATTAAGAGTTGGAAGAGACTTCATGGGCCATCCAGTCCAACCCCCTGCCAAGAAGCAGGAATATTGCATTCAAATCACCCCTGACAGATGGCCATCCAGCCTTTGTTTAAAAGCTTCCAAAGAAGGAGCCTCTACCACACTCCGGAGTAGAGAGTTCCACTGCTGAACAGCTCTCACAGTCAGGAAGTTCTTCCTCATGTTCAGATGGAATCTCCTTTCTTGTAGTTTGAAGCCATTGTTCCGCGTCCTAGTCTCCAAGGAAGCAGAAAACAAGCTTGCTCCCTCCTCCCTGTGGCTTCCTCTCACATATTTATCCATGGCTATCATACCTCCTCTAAGCCTTCTCTTCTTCTTGGACAATGCATTGACTTGAGTATAAGTCGGGGATGGGAAATGTAGATATTTACATACGATATGTAAATATCTACATCCATTAGACTTTGAATATTCTCTGTGATATAGTCAAATCAACACACACACCACCATTTAACAACTTCACATGTGTAGTGTCCAAATTGTTGCTTGACAGTTCTTTTCTCTTCTTACAAATATAAAGCCATTCGCGGTTTTTATAAGACCTGGAAGAAGGTCTTATACAACTCATTTACTACTACATGTTGACATTTAAGACAAACGTCCCTTCTGAATTCTTCCCTACCTAGTCCTAGAAGAGGATGATGCTCCACCAGGGTCCAGCTGTTGTCGTCCACACAATGACTTTTATAAACAAGAAGCTGGCAAAGATCTCGGGCTGTCATATCTGCTAAGATCTCAACCACCTTGCACGTCCCATCTTCACTAAAGACTTTTACATCCTGCAATACAAAAGAATGATATACTTTTATAGACAGAAGACTCATATATCAGGGTGAGGGGAATGCCCAACAAAAGTGAACAGTGGTCATTGTTTGGTATACTTCGTGCAATGAACTTTAGACACAACCAAAACCTTGTACTAAAAAAGCCGAATATTTCTATCTGAATAAAGTATATAAATCAAGCACTTCTAAAGAATCCCATATGTTTAAACCAGTGATTCCCAAACTCTGATCCTCTATAGTTGATTTGAGTCTCAAATCCTAGAATGCCTAGCCAGCTTGCTCAATGGTCAGGAATTCTGGAAGCTAAAATCCAAAACACACAGAGTACCAAAATTTGGGAACCACTAGTTTAAACGGCTGCTCTGGCCAGAGTGAAGACAGAGGGGAGCAGAAGACATTTCCATCTTGTCTTTACTAATAATATAATATAGTATACTGTATATACATATAATATTTATAATATTACAATGTAATACAATATAATACTAGCAATAATAATACAATATTATAATTATAATTATATATTTACATTACATGTAATATTACTAATAATATTACAATATAATGATATAGTGCAATATAGTAATATATAATACCGATATTGTACTATGCTAATAATATAATATACTGTCTGAAAATATATATTGTAAGCCGCTCTGAGTCCTCTTTGGGGTGAGAAGGGCAGCATATAAATCAGTGTTTCTCAACCTGGGGTAGGGACCCCTGGAGGGGTCGCGAAGGGGTGTCAGAGGGGTCACCTAAGACAGTATTTTCTGTTGGTCATGGGGGTTCTGTGTGGAAAGTTTGGCTCAATTCTATCGTTGGTGGGGTTTATAATACTCTTTGATTGTAGGTGAACTATAAATCCCAGCAGCTACAACTCCCAAATGTAATTTCCCCCAAACTCCACCAGTGTTCACATTTGGGCATATTGAGGATCTGTGCCAGGTTTGATCCAGATTCATCATTGTTTGAGTCCACAGTGCTCTCTAGATGTAGGTGAACTACATCTCCCAAACTCAAGCTCAATGCCCACCAAACTCTTCCAATATTTTCTATTGATCATGGGAGTTCGGTATGCCAAGTTTGGTTCAATTCCATTGTTGGTGGAGTTCAGAATGCTTTTGATTGTAGGTGAAGCCCAGTAACTATAACTCCCAAATGACAAAATCAACCCCATCAGTATTCAAATTTGGGTATATTAGGTATTTGTGCCAAATTTGCACCGGTGAATGAAAACACATCCTGCATACTGGATATTTACATTCTGATTCATAACAGGAGCAAAATTACAGCTATGAAGTAGCAACGAAATGAATGTTATGGTTGGGGGTCACCACAACATGAGGAACTGTATTTAGGGGCCGCGGCATTAGAAAGGTTGAGAAACACTGCCGTAAATAAATAAATAAATAAATAATGAGGGAAAGTAAGGTATTACAAATAGAAATATTTTTCTCAATCCTAACCAGTGAAACCCAAGGCATTCACACATGCTCATTACCCACACAGGTTCGATACTTCATTTAAAAAGAAATTATATTCTTGGGAAGATGACTACTGTGTCTAAGAAGACAAATAATGCACATTACTGTGGTCCCATATACTTATGCTTCCAAACATAATGCTTTTGGATCGAGTTTCTGGCTCAGTTATTTTTTGATGGGCTGGTTTTCCTTTCCAGAAAGGACTGACAGAATGTATGCCATCAATATTGCAAGGTAGGAAATAAGCAAAAATTCACTGTTTGTGTAGTAACTGATTTTTATTTTATTTTTAAAAACATATAAAGGCCACTCGAAATTCTGAAACAATTTGTCAGAGGTAGATGGGTCTAGTCACATATCCTCCACTTTGGGGCCTTTTGCCATTCATGGCTTTACAGCAAAATCCAAATAAAAATTTAACCAGGTTGTTGTAGGTTTTTCCGGGCTATATGGCCATGTTCTAGAGGCATTTTCTCCTGACGTTTCGCCTGCATCTATGGTAAGCATCCTCAGAGGTAGTGAGGTATATAAACCCTTTTTTCCTAGTTCCAACAGACCTCACTACCTCTGAGGATGCTTGCCACAGATGCAGGTGAAACGTCAGGAGAAAATGTTTCTAGAACATGGCCATATAGCCCAGAAAAACCTACAACAACCCAGTGATTCCGGCCATGAAAGCCTTCAACAAAAATGTATCCATTGAAAATATAGCAGTCTTAAGGCAAATTTATGCATATGTGGTGGAACTGCAGAAAAATCAAAAATTACTGGACTCAAATACACAAAACAATAGAAAAAAATCCTAAACATAAAATTCGATCCAAAACCAGAAATATTACTACTAGGATTACTGGACATTAAAATGGAAAAGAATGAATACAAGATCTTTTTCTACTTAATAGCGGCTGCAAGAATGACTTTAGCAAAAATGTGGAAATGCAAAGAAGTACCAATTATTATTATTATTATTAAACTTTATTTGTACCCCGCTAGCATCTCCCGAAGGACTCGATGCGGCTTACAAAGGCCAAGGCCTCAACACAACAGCAGTAAACAACAACAATACAAAAGAAAGCAAATTAAAAACATAAGCAATAACAAACATCACACTATTACACAATAAAAACCATGGCTGGGCCAATGATGGGTACAGGTTAAAAAAGTGCTGGGTGTGACAGGAGGTGTATTGAAATTCTGGACAAGTGCAATGTGCAGAGAGTCTTAAACTCTAGTAAAGTGCTTCTGGGACAAGGTGCTGGGTTATCCTATTCTGGAAAGGCACGTCGGAATAGCCAGGTCTTCAAGTTCTTCCTAAAGACTGCCAACGTGGGAGCTAGTCTAATGTCTTCTAATGTCTAATTGTACCAACAATTGAACAATGGACAATAAAAATAATGGACATAATAAATATGGACATACTTACACAAAGAATTTCACAAAACTACACAAAACCCCAAACAACAGACTGGAAAGCAGTGTTGGAATTTATAAGAGGGGAAAATAAGAAGACATATATAATGGATCTATAAAAGGAATTCAGGAATTGTTTGAAATAAGAAATTGATAATTGATTCAAGCAAAAGTTTAAAAATGTGTGCTGGATTATATGTTTGAATATAGATAATCAATAAGAAGAATATACTATGTATAGATTATTTAAAAGGTACACAATTGTAGAACTGTAGATTAGACAAATCACCCAGAGAGAACCTGGAAGTACCCGTCCCATCCCATCCCTATATCCCTTCCCCATTTCCCCTCACTTCCTAACCCCCCTTCCCTCCCCTGCAGCCCTCCCTTCCCAGCCTTGCCTACCCCTCATCTACCTCACTATGCCTTTCCTGTGATTTTAATGCAATTTTGTAAAGCAAAAAACCAATAAAAATATATTTTAAAAAAGAAAATATAGCAGTCTTGTTTGGTACTAATGAGTTTTCCATTTGCAGTTTAAATTGTAAAAAAAAAAGTTAGAAAATCAGCCACAATGGAACCACAAACATTATTTTCTTCTAACTATATATTAATATTCTTTATTTTCTAAGTATTAATGAGAACATTATTGTCAGCAAGGTCTCTGTGACTCTCAATTAGATGGATGATTCCATGTTACAGCCTTACGCAGCTTATACAGGGGGAAAAAACTATTCCCTCAGGATCAAATACAGAGCATCATAATTTAACCCTGTGTTAACCCTTATATTTAAAATGCACATTCTAGTTCCCAGGAGGAACAAGAGAAGAATGAAAAGGATGATGGTGAAGTCAGCAAGCTCTCTGCAATGGTGAAGTAATGTGATGTGGAGAGGGGGGGGGGGGGAGAGAAAGAGAAAGAAACAGAATCTTACCTCAACACCACGTAAAAGGCAGCAGTCAGAAGAACAAGATGGCATTTTAAAATACAGATAGTATCTCTTGAAAGAGTTTTTTCTTTGCCTTTTCAAATCCTCTGCAACTCGAGGGTGCAACATCCAGGTTGCTTTAGTTTCAAGGGACTCGTGTACCTGAGCTGCAAATCCCTGGCTGCAAGCACACTTATTTTATTTTCTGGGGGAGGCAGCTAACTCTGCTGGTGCTTCACTCAAAGGGTTACACAAAATCTTTTAGGCAGTGAATCAAACCATACTGTACAGACCAATCCTAGCCCTCCCTGAAACTGATGTAATCATTTCCCACACAACTCACCGACTTCCAAATTATCCCTCCCCAATAAGATTTCTCTTTTAAAACCTGCATATAAAAGAACATTAGAACACGACGACTCAGGAACTACCTGTATCAAAAAAAAAAAAAGTTCAGGAAGAGAAGAAAAATCCCACAATCCAAAGCAAGCACATTCCTTGGACTGTTTCTTTGCCAACTCAGTCTCAAAAAGCCCACCTCCTGGAAGAAGCTGATGTCATTTCGTTGCAAGTTAAGAACTTTTGAGCTGCACACTACTTCCTTCCCCTTTGCAGGCACCCCCCCCTCCGCCGCTCCACACTCATTGCTCCGTATAAGCTTTTGAAGATTTAGGAGCACTCATGAAAACAGAACAGCATTTTAAACAAACGGGAATATGAGCTAAATAAGGTCAGATCTTACGTTAAAGAAAAAGAAGCCCACATTGTCTATTATGTTTGCCAGCTGTGTTAATCTAATGCCTTGGCTGCTACTTCTCCTCCTCCTCCTCCTCCCCCATCTCCTTTTTCTCCTTGGCACACAGTCAGAAACACACACAGGCACATTAGGGAGGTGTAAGCGCTCGAATGGGAGCCCTTAAAAAAAAGTGACTCAAAGCTGGTGCATTCAGGAAATGGCTTCCTCCCACAGCAGACTCCATATCCACTCCTACTTATCTGAAAAGAAGTTGCAGAAAAACTACACTGAAAATAAATCCACGAATCTTATTTCAATATCTCAGTAGTTTGTGCATATTAAGCAAATATGTGCATACATACATATATATTTGACTGTTCTGACTTACATACTAATTCAAATTAAGAACAGACCTACAGAACCTATCTTGCC